GACACATTTGGCTACTGCTACAGTATATGTACTAGTTTGTACTACTAGTAATAGCATTCAGCAATAAGGTTTGGTACAAATATATATATATATATATTCGTTTTTGCCACATCCTGTTTGCGGGGATGCCCTGGATGTGTTGGTGTTTGTTGTCATCTCGAGATTGCCCTTTGGCTGTTTTCGTGTTTGTATATTTTATCATTTCCCGTTGTTGATGTTGGTAGGTCAGACAAAAGGTAGCACCACCACGCCGACTCTTGGGGGTGGGGGGTGGCATCCCCGCGCGGGGACACCGTCGTCGTCCTCTGCAGCCCCGACCCCAACATCCCGAACCACCGGAAGCTCGAACCCCCGTTTTCTCAAGTCCGCTTCTTCTGCCCTCAACCGCGGCCCAACCTCCCCGCCCAAGTTTGATTGCCTCAACGAATCCATCATTCAACACCCGACAGGCGACAGAAGTACTACCAACATTTCCGTGAACGATCTGGACGACTTGGACGGCAGCTTCATACCCACGCAACACCACCACCCTCCTCATCAGCATTACCGAGGACAGCCTCCACATGCAGTGGGCGGCAGAAGACTGACGGTTGTACCACCTTCGAACCAGCAACCGCACAACAACAGCACTCTCCCCACCGAGCTAAACCATCGAAACGACCTCATTCCGCTGGTCATGTCGCCATAATAAGTCCAAATATTTGTATGATGAGTTTTATCGTGTCGGCCACTGATGACTTTGTACGGGCAGCGTGGATACATAGTAAGTACTACTAGTACGCACGAGTATTTTCTTCCAAGCAAGCGGACAGTGGCCTGATTCAGCTTCCAAGTACTAAGTACTTGTACTATATTATTGTGCTTTCGAGCGAAATTTGGTATTTTCGGTAGATTCGACGAAATCGTCGAGCGTCATTTTACTTGAACTAACTATACTCACTGTGACTCCTGTCCGATGCAACGTTGAACTGTTTGTGAAATGGAGAAGCTTGGCAAATGCACCGGATACGCCTGCAATTTGATTGGTCGAAATGTTTTTTTCGAAAATGTCATTGGCTACTTTGTTCCGTCGATTACTCCGTCGATTCGATTGGCATGCCCCAGTCCATTTTGAAATCGAATTAATTACCAATATGTAGTGCTAGTCATAGTACGTAGTACTGTTCCGGACCCGCAGGCCTGTAATAGGGCTGCCGGTGTGTTAAAATACTTTGAAGCTTCAACGAAGAGGTAGCAGTCTTTCTTGAGAGACAACATGAAAATACAACATCATTTCAAGAATCTGCAACGAAGTTTCTCAACTTAATTTACATGTCGCATACGCTTCAATTTTAAATACGAGCAGTAGATTTACTGTGTTTCGCGCGTACTACTACCGGAAATAGAAGTCCCTTTTGGTGAAAATTAATAAAATTGGTGATTTGTTTGAGGGGCTGGTCTGTGAAAAACCATCCACGCTTTAAGGCAGGGATGTTATCCGAACTATTTTCGAGGATTCTGAAAATATATCAAAAATATTTCTTAATTTCTATCGAAAACGTGCAAAAGTAGGAACGGACACTCAAACGAAGGGATGAATCATCGCTGCTTCAACTCAGGCGTCCCTGCTTTTGACGTTGTGTTATCCGGAAAAATTCACGTTTTAGCCAATCAGAAGTCGTATTTGCGTGGATACTTCAAAAAGCGTGGACGGGAATGTTCGCAGACCAGCCCCTCAGGGGCTGGTCTGCTTTATCTGTTTTTGCCCTAAGTATGCTTGTTGTAAAGGTCTTTGTATGATCCGTATCCCTGTGGAATATAATACCTTAAAGATGAATACCCTAATGGATAAGGCGGTTCTACTCTATGAATGTTTGTAGTTTGCATGCATTCTACCTGCATGAACAAATAGTCAACAACAATTTAAACTATGTTTTGTACAGAATATAAATTAATGCAGGTCTTTAGTATAATCAGTATAAAATCGTGACTCGTATCCGGGTACATATAAAGAACGCTATAAAGTAATTAATTCCGGTTAATTCTGAAAAAACCTCTAAGAATGAAAAGGGACTTCTATTTCCGTCTGGAGGTAGTATTAATAATAATAGCCTGGCGAATTTTTCAACCAATCACCTGCGACGTCTTACTGTAAGTATGGATATTTTCACTCTTTTAGTTCATATCCCATCAACACCAATACGAATTTCGCCATGATTTGAAGTCCTACAAACTGAATTAATTCTCCTCTTTAAGAAACACTACTATAAAATATTCGTTCGTAATTGGAGTCGCCAGTAGAATCGAATAAGATTTGAGAATGAACTAGCCAATCAAAATCCATTCTAACCCCCCCCTTTACAAGATTTCTGAATAGTTCAGCACATCAAAACAATTTCTACCCCCCCCCGTTGCAGATTGAACTTTTTGTCAGTCCAATTCTCATAATCCAAGTCGCAATGTAAGGTTCACGGGCACCACAAAAATCCTCGGTACAACACGCGGTCATCACAATCACCTCCCAACAACAATCCCGGCCCCTGCCAACTAGCCGACAAATATGTTGGGCATGTCTTTTCATGCTGTTGGATCCAGTTGGAGATGGTACTCACAGACTTGCTAAATAGACGAGCAATGGCAGTGCGCTTGATGCCGAGGAAGTAGTACGCAACAAGCGCATGCATGACGGTGCTTCTGGACATGCTGGACGTGCTGCAGGATCATGCAGTCGATTGAAATTTGGGAAAGTAACGTTACTGTGCGAAAGTCGGAGTGTATTGAACAATACACCATGATTGTATACTACTGTATTAGTGAATACAAGATATATTATTGCCAAGTTCATTCAAAAACGGTATCACTTTTGGACTGAACAGTCCAAATTTGGGTGAGGAGGATTAACCATAGCAAAATTCGAATAGAAAAACCCCTCCATCGAAAGGTCCCAAGAAGTGTCACGGCAACCCTAACGTTATACAGTAATTGGTATATGTAGGGTTGCCGTGACACTTTTTGGGACCAACGATCTGGAGCAAGCCAGAAGTGACGGGAATTCCAGCCAGCAAACCTAGATCCACGGGTTGCAGTGTCACCACCAATATCAAGTCTTATAATAATAAGTCTTATATTAGGCCGTGGTGTTCAGACAGCCATAAAGTACCCGTCCAGGAGGAGGTCCGCCAAAACAACACATGATCAACTGGTCAACAATATCAACCAGTGACGTTACTGACGAGCCACCGCCATTCAGGCCCATCGGAACTGCTTGAGTGTTGACCAGATGGTCTTGTCAAACGACAACCATATACTGAAGAATAATGGGGGAGCAAACGCACCAAAACCCCTGCAGGGGGGAAGAGGGCGGAACTCTTCGGCTGAGCCGCACGAGCGACCCTCCGGCGCGCTGTTGGTGCACATATTGGGCCATATCTTGTCAGCACTACAACCAGCAACATACAGTAGCCGAATATGAAGGGCTGATACTAGTACGCTGACTTCACTTACGTAGCCGGAACACTGGGACTACCTATAAACAGGAGTGGTATGTGGCAACCAATACTCAGAGGTTGGTTGCCACATACTGGTAGTCTAAGAGTACTCGGTTTCAGTGGCACAGCCACCACAGATTGCAGGGTTGTTTGATTGCCATCTCAACGGAGGGGGTACGAGAAAGGTGTGAAATCTCCGGTTGGACTTTATGGAATTAGCCCCAAGAAAACCGAAACAACACATCATGAGGACTAACATGCTATTTGTATTTGCAGATTATATTTGTATTTGCACCCTGTGGTTGTTGCTGGCTGTTATAGCGTTAAGTAATTCTACCGTATACCTTATGGATCAGTACCCATGATTTTGCCTTATCGCGTTGTACCCAAATTGCTGTATGGTGTCAATAAAGTACGATTTGGTGGTACCTTGGAAGGCTGTACCCAAGTCGCTTTATATTGGTCAAAACTGTCCAATTATCTCGTTCTAGCCAATTAAACAAGTCGAAGTAGTAGAAGTAACCAATCCGAACGCATTGGAAAGAAATCAGACCACCTTATTGAGTTGTATCCATTTCGATCAGATTTTACTGACATTTTCGGGGATACAGATCCATAAGGTATACGGTAGTTTGTCGGCGTGTTGCTGTCACTCTGTAGCAGCTACTACTGTATCAAAGTTTAGCTACAATACTTCAGAGTATGATGAAACGAACTCAGTCAATTCGAACAGGTCTAGACTTCACAGTCAGTAACATCACCACTTGCCTACTAACCCAATGATTGTGGTCATCCAACATTCCACCATCCAGTCCGTGTCGGTGCCGTACTCCTCCGTGCTGGTGTGATCACGTGGTTACGCGGGCGGGTGGCGCAAGACGTCTTGGTGGCACCCATTGCAAGTGCTAAAGCCGCCACTTCAGCACTTGCAGCCACGGCATTGCGACCCAACCGAGCGCACAACATAACGTTAGCTGTAAGGGGAGAACGACATTGGATGTGCACAATTCTCCGGAGCAGCATCACACGAAGCTCTACAAAATTCAAGCGTCCAAACAGTTCAAAATTGCAACCTCTTCAGCCAGTGTTATAGCCAATCGTGTGTAAGAATCAAGGTGTGATGGACTCTGATTGGATATTAAAAAGGAGCACGGTGAATTCCATGAACAAGTCAACAAACGAGATTTGTTGTTGCTTTCGTGACCTTTGGTGTCTCCTTGCATCCTTTTGCATTGAATAATTCCCTCATTAAAATAGTACCATTAATAGTAGTTAGTATATTGAACCCGAATACTGTATGACCATCGTTCTAGCCTTGTGTCCGTGGTAGAGTACATACAAGGCGAAATCCACGCGTTAATTGCATCACCAGTACGTAGTGGTTAGGTTAGATAGCTTTTTTAGCTACTTGCCACTGAGATGCACTTATACTGTTATCCCCACGTAAGAGGTGACGTGGTAAGTTCCATATAAAAAACAAAAAGGATACTGTGCAGCGCTTACAAAAAACAAAATACAGTCCCACTGTCCCACGCTATTAATGATACAATTGTACTGTACCGGGAGTATTAATACTACATGTACCTCCGAATTTGATTAATGGAAGTGAGCATTAACAGTAAAACAGTTCCACTGTTGTCTTGATGCATATCCGAAATATTTGATGAGGGAATTATACCACCCGGATACAATTTACCACCCGTAGCCCTGTAATGTAACGTGGGACTCCGTCCTACCCCCCGTGAGTACATGTACCTAATGCTAAGTTAACTTTGAGATGCACTTAACCCCTAATGTACCAGTGGTAAGGTGGTCCAAGTATATATTAATACAATAGTTTCATTATCGCTCGATTTGCTGAGAAAAACAACGGCAGACTCGACTCTACCCAAATATACTGTATGTGTGAATATGTATCCCAACATATTATGACCAAACAGCTCAAATATCACACCCATACACGAACGACACCGTGCATGCAACATTGACTTGGCTTCATACTCACTGTAGTAACAATCAGAACCCACCCGAACTGTAGTCCTTGTCGTGCATACAGTACTGCTCGACGCACACTATGGTCCTGGGTCCTTTCTCCTACTTACCACCACTCGACCGATCTCTTGCTACGCACATCGCGGCGGAAGGCAGTGCGTATTCCTTATGATCGGGAAGCTGGAATAATGCTAAGAGAAACCACTACATAGCGTTAGGTATGTAGTTTTCGGTCCCATCGAGGTACTGTACAGTATTGAAGTAGTCAAATGCCAACCAAAACGACAGTAATGGTGAGACAGTTTCCAACCAAGACGACCTGTCGCCTGTCGCACCAAGTGGAGGAATTCCCGGATAGCACGGGCCCAGCAATACCGCAAAGCCCCGTAGCCCCCCAACCTCCCCTTGTGTTACATGTACTTGCCAGGGTTCAGTTGCATCGCAAGGAGAGTTAGCTATGGTTAATACTGTACCCTTCACCCGTTCACCCGTAGCGGAAATGTGCTGCTGTTTTTGGGTAAACAAAGCAACTAGAAACCGTGGCACGGCTGCTATCACGGAATGCATCGCGCACCTTCTAGTACTGTACACCCGCCCACTTGTCATCAAAGGCCACCCACCCACCCACCACCATACAGGCATCAAATCGTTACTCCCAACTACCCCACAGACGTACTAACTACTGCACACGAGCAGCTCATTGCAGCATGTCCAAGCTGCCGCCGCACTTTTTCCGATGTCCGTTGCTTAGTGACGCCGACACGGCTGACCTCAAGGCCTTTGCCGAGCAAGCGTCGATCGATTCCGTAACGTGACTGCCAATCTGCTTGTACTGCTGGCAGACTCATCATATTTACGAATGATATGATTGCAGGTTCGCCATGCCAGGCTACACAATGGCCCCATCAAGTGGTCCATCATCGAGGACGACCATGACCTGCAAGTGCTGAGCGGATACGATCCCGCCGCGCCCGCAGGGGTCCTCTCCTACGGCTCGACCACGTACCTCTACGCTTCCATCGACGACGTAGCCAGTCTGTTTCGGGCCGAAACGGACGAAGAGTACCAGACGTATCGTCGACAGTTTGCCCCGGACTTGTTGGACGGCGCGCCGCTGTATACGCTGACATCGCCGACCCCAGCCAACCCGCGTCAATTTGTCGGAATCAAATGGATGGCAGTGGCCAGTCCGGTGGTAGCCGTGGTGAAACACCGCGACTTTTGTGCCATCGAGGTATATATATATAACCTGGGATGCCATGGTCTGTCCATTGGTGTAGGTTGTTAAATTCGATGCATATATATATATATATATGGAGGCCAACAAAAATCGTGTGTGCGTGCAACGAACCAAAATTGCCTCATATTTTTATTGTTTTCATCGTCGACTACTGTACTACAAGTACACACTCCGAGTTGAACCAAAAACTGGCTAATTTAAACGACTGTTGGCGTTTTGTCGTGGTTTATGGGAGGCTGTTGCCTTGTTGCCAGGGTATGGGAATTTTTTTTTTAATCCATTTTCCCGAGTAAAAACAAGTAACTATTGTATTGCAGCACTTGGTCAATACAATGATTGTATTGCTTGCTGCATTTAAATATTAAATTGTCTAATTGTCAATTATTGAAATGAATGATAAGATAAAATATTGTTGGTTGTTCGTTGGCTCAAGTAAAATCACTTTTGGATCTCGCACAATCAATTATAGTAATTATCCAGCGCTTTGCAATCAAATTTTTTTTCGCATACCCTGCTTGTTCCTCAACAACTTGCATAGTGCCGGTATGATTTCGACACACAAGGCAGGCGTGGGTATGTCCGGTGCCTCAAGTCCGTGTCGTTGGCATGTTGTCCGGACCTGGAGGCGTCGATGGGGTTCGTCCGGGGCACGTACCATCGGCTGGCGCATGTATTTTTAGAAACCGATCGGCCGGGGTACCTCCACGCGTTCCAGCTGCTGCAGGCCGACTTTCGCGGTATTGTTTTTCATTCAATTGCTTGCTTGGTTCTTCACAATATATATATATATATATATGTCCGGCCATGAGGATTTAACATATATTATTTGACAGGCAACATCCCCACGTGGCTGTCGAAATTAAGTGCAAAAAAGCGCGCCAAGTCATTGGGGGATATGGATTTGTTCCTGCGGGGCCAGCGGCTGACCCGAACCGCCTTCTTAAATGACCGAGAACTCGTGCTCAAGGGCAACAGAAGCCGCTGCTTCGTCTGCCAGGTGCCATTTGGGACGTTCGGAACCAAGTGTTCGTGTCGAAAGTGTGGCGAAGTACGTTCATTTCATTCATTTTACAATATAAATGGTCTCGTTAACATTGTAAATATAATATATATATATTATATTGTGGGGACAAATGTGACGAGATTTTGTGGGAGGCATTCCTACTATCTATGGGGTGTCCATGTCGACGACGTTTGATGTGACTGTCAAATGCTATCATTATGTATATATAATTATAAAAAATATGTATACAGAAATAATTTTGACAATCACATAAATTTCATTACATGATGAAACGCGTATGACATGTGCGATGTATATATATATATATATATATATATTTATATATGAAATCAATTTGATCAAATAACATTATATGGTGCAATCATACGACATATATGGTGTTTATATAATATATATATATATGTCATACGTTCGCTCCATGTAGTGAAGTTTAATCAAATTGATTTCAATCTTCCAATTGTTTACTTAAGAGTACATTAAATTATACAATTTTATAGTCACGTTTTTTATGTCATGGTGCAGATCAATGACAAATGCGGTATGTATGTATATATATATATATGGAAAAATAAATTAGGTTGGTGCACAGCCTATTATTTGTAATGGGGTTTCAATGTCATCTGCTCTTTTCACGTACTAGTATGATAATATACTCGTTGATGAGGAATCGAGTGGGGGGATGGGATATAATATTTGGCGTCTTCTTGTGGAGACGAATGCACTAACGTTAGTTTTCGATATGGGCATTGAAATGGATCGTATATATAATATGAAGCAGCTATTATATACTGTAGTGAATGGCATACCAATTAACTGTTTTGTATATATATATATATATATATATTTATAGGTGGTATGCAAAGCCTGCTCCAAGTCGTGGCGAGTGCATGCCGATGGCATGAGCCAAAGTTTGCGCGTGTGCACTTCCTGTACGACCTCCAATGGGCTCATTGGCGACCTCATGACCAGAGCCGCCAGCACCACCAGCCAACTGGAACGCACCAAATCTGTGACAGTGTCCACGCCGCTGGCGACTTCGAGAGGTATTACAAAACCTTAGTAAACTATCTATAAGTCTATTTCTTCTATCCCGCAATACATGATGACGACATTGGCTGGCGATGTATACTGATATATATATATATAATATGCTTTATGGAAATAGAAATGTATATATATGGTGAATTCGCTTTGAACTTCCAAAATTCGCATGGTTTGTCTACTTAATTTCGAATCACGCTGGAGTTCTGATTGGTTGAAAACATACTTGTCCTTTCTGTAAGAGCCAATCAAATCCAATCAAAATTGGATTGGCCAATAGAGTCGATTCGTGATTCAATTCGGCAGCGAGATTCGATTCGACGGGGTCTGGAAATTTGTACCAAATCTACAATATACATAAACGATATTATACGATCGCAATGACTTTGGCTGGCGACATATTCTCTATTGGATCGATACACGTGATGATGCTGTGATTTATATATGGTTTCACTGATACATACTAGATTAATATCTATTTATCTATATATACATATATATAGATAGATAGAATTATACTGCGAGCGATTTTATCGTATATGTAAGCAGATACATATTAATAGCTATCTATCTAACTATATATGTATATATCTATCTATCTATATATATATAGCTATCTATCTATATAGATAGATAGATAGATAGATATTAATACATATATGCTTACATATACGATAAAATCGCTCGCAGTATAATTCGCCACATCCGGTTTGCCTCGATTCTGTGTCTCATAGCATTGGTTGGCTATTCCTGCGTTACTTTTCATGATGGACATGAATCCAGTATATATATACTTCAATAGTGGAATTCAAGTTGTACATGTCCTTTATATGTAATATATATATATCTATTTGCCATACAAACTACTACGAGTACCCTGTTGAGTATATATCATCCCGTTTTTTGTTGTGTTTATATTGGTAGGTGGAATCAATGCAGCCGCAGCGCTGACAGGTCGAGGTGGGTCCCAGCGCCGCGCGGGGACGCAGTTGAGTTCGTCTGCAGCCGCGACTCCAACCCCCCGGACACTCTACACCCCCAAAGTCCCCCGGTTCCACAAGTCCGCATCAACCACGCCCACCTCCGCCCGCCTCCCGTCATCGCCACTTAGCTTTGATTTCCTCAACGAATCTATCTTTCAACACTCGACGGGCGAGCGAAGTACGGGCTTTTCCGTGGACGATGATCTAGATGACTTGGACAGCAGCTTCATATTTACCCCCACGCAACTACACGATGCTCCTCGGAACAGTAGACAATTGCAATCTCAAGGACAACAAGACGACAGAACACTCACTGACGTACCCCCTTGGCACCAGCAGCAACTCGTGCGATATGATCCAACCAAGGCCCAAGACCCAAGACACACCGATAAAGTGCCACCACTACTCCGCGACGACCTGGACCATCGAAACGATATCATTCCGCTGGTCATGTCGCCTTGACGATACTGTAGATGCGTAATACTGTCTGTATACATATTGCTACTGTATGACTTTGATTGGAGAAGTACTATATAACTAACAGTTATACCAACAACGACAAGGCATTAGTAGACGAGGGTAGTTGGTTTCGACAGTTTAATCAGAGGCGAATATTATAAGACGTGTGAAGGGTTTGGATGGAGTATTATGCATGTAAACTCATCAATGCTGGCAGTTGAACCCACGTAATTTTGACGTTAAATCATTATTACTTACGTTTTTTATCTGGTAGGTTAAACGTCCTGAATAATCCGGAAACGTTCATACGGATAAGTGTTGTATACAAAGACTAAGATATACTAAGTACTTGATGCTCCTTTTCGGCCAAAATGTGCCTGGCTCCATATATTTCCTTCCATACAAAAAGACTGGTTGGTTTAAATTCTATTACTGGATCAATTTTTCACCAGTCGAAATTTTGAACCGTAACTTCTGTTGTGTCTTGTCCAGTTCTATCGTAATTACGGCTTATTTTCCTAAAAAATATCAATACAAAGTTGGAATAGCTGCCGAAAGACAAGGCATGTTTTTGTAGTCTTTAGATGAAATGCACCATACTACTGTAGAGTACACTGCCGAGACTAAGACAAACCCTGAAAAACGTTCTATAAATCTGGATACTATACAACCAAGACTGAAAGCCGTTCAAACTAATAAACTCTAGTTAGATGAGGCATATTTTTTGTACTCTGACCACCTCAACTACAACCCCGGGGATTTAGCATTATACTTACGACTTACGGGACAGCATTGAATATTAATACCAACCTTGGATACTATGGTTAATATAATATAATTGTTGAATTAAAAGAGTGGATGACATTTGGATGACATGGGATGACATGGGATGAAATTGGATGAAGTTGTGGGATGAAACCTAAAGTAGTGACCAAGCCTTACGTTGGCCCCGAGCGCCCGGGAGGCCGTCTGCGCAAGCGCGGCCGTACGAGAGCGCGGATCTAAGCTTCTCACTTCACCGAATGATCTATCTTTTCTTCTTGTCGGGCAGCGGCAGGTAGGCCGTAGGCCGTGCCGCTCCCGGATGAGGCCTGTATGCAATTGTATGCAATGACCTAGCATTATCCTAATTTACTCTTATCTTTACTAATTAGGATATGACCTAATATTAATGGTGGATGACGTTTGGATGACACATGATACTATCACGGATATTTGAAATCCATATAAATATTTTATTTAAAGTATGTGCACGCCGGAGGTAGGTAGGACCAAGTCCCGGGGTTACAAGGTTACGGGAAGAAAATTTGCTGAACGGTTTTCAGTCTTGGCTGAACGGTATCCAGATTTCTTGAACGTTTTCCCATAGTTTCCTACTATGGGGTAGTATTAATACTGTAACTATATAGTATTAATACTACCTCCGTCCGAAAATGTTTGCTACTTCGAAGTACAACATTTTCAGACGAATTTTGAGATTTTCCACGAATTCTGCTGGTTGTAGCAGAATTCGTGGATGAACTTGAAAACAGATGAAGAATAATGTTCAAAACCTACCACTCCGTGTCTTTTTATAGTGTACATTTGTCACATATGGGTGAGTTTTAATACAATACATATGGGTGAGTTTTAATATAACATTAATGTACATTTGGTTTGGCCAATGAGAGCCACGTAACATGTATATTCGGCCAATCAAAGCATAACCAGGAGTTTCGTCCTAATGCATCAATGTAATTGGTGGATATCAACCAATCAAACGCTGAATATGACACGCTACATCCATTTAATTGGCGGAAACTTCTGCTGAACAGATCAAGGTGGGTGCGATTACTTTCAGTGGTTGTTATTCTGTCATTTATGAACGAATCGCTTCATTTAACTGTAAATAGAAGCAGGATCAGAGCGCCAGCTTTCGGCAGCCAATCG